GCTGCTGCTGCTGCTGCTGCTTACTCAGGCTGCTGCTTACTCAGGTTCTAAAGAATCACGGTAGCGGGTTGCCACACAGTGATCCCTCAAGCTTTGTCTAGACTTTAGCTTCCCCCCAGCAGCTCCTGCTGCCGGCTAAGAGCTGCATCACCTCGACGCTTTCGCCACAGGATGCTCAAAGCCGAGTCATGTCCAGGCGGAAGCCGGCCGTGTGCAGAAAGCATTACATCAATGCAAACACGTACACTCGAGGAAGCCCAAATGAGCCGCAAACCGCAGACGCCAACACGTCACGTGGAAGAGCTTTGAAAATAGCTCTTTCAGGGCTGCAGCCAGGCAGCCATGCCGGAGGTAATGATTGGCGAGATTCCAAGCCTCGGAAAGCAAAACCCAAGCCTCACGGGGCATGCGTCTAGTCCGCTGCAAGTCTCTGCTATTCAACTGTTGGCGACTAACGTGTTCAGCGCAATGTACTTAGACTTATATGTCAGCCAATGGCAAGCGAGCCTGTGGCGACTTCAAACCCGAACCATCTCAAGAACTGCAGCGTGTCTAACGGCTTCGCGCTGGGGACTCTGGCTCCATGAGAGTGCCTCGATTCGAAGCCTCGGCCGCGAGTCCGTCGACAGCACTGGCTTTGCGCCAAACAAGGCTGCATGAATACTTCACTTCTTCCAAAGTCTGTGCCCAGGGGTCGTTCCTAAACCCTAAACCCTAAATTAATATGTCGTCTTGCTGCAAGAACACACTCGACAACATTCGATGCGCTGACCACTAATTCATGCTGATACAGTCTCAAGCCGCATCTTGTAGCTTCAGGGCACATCATTTGACCCAATCAGACAGGTCCATCATGCAAAGAGCAACAAAACTAAACCTGTCGAAAGAACACGAGGGCACTAACGGATGTCAACTTGACAAGCAAAAGCTACTCCAAAATGATGGTTCAAAAGCACAAGAGAATGGAAAGGCCTCAATGCACGCCCAGGGACTAGGATGACTCGCATCCAGTAGAAGGGATCGGAGCCTTCACCACGAAGTCTCTGTGGCTTTAAATGCAGCATGACTCCGACGCATCTGGATTTAGGGACAGTTCGCAGGATCTGGAAAAGCCATGTCACTCTTGGAGGTCAGCACACCATAGAGCGGAATCCTAAGCCATGGACAACGCATTGAAAAAGCTCCCAGCTCAAGCGACCGGCGGAGGTCCCAATGCAGAAGAGGGCTCTGGCAGCAAACTAGGAACACAAACAGGGAGATGGACGTCCACCTCACAGCTGGCGCGCTCGCTCGGGAGCTTCTGTGAATATGCTGCAATGCAGGGACAGTTTCGGTTCGCTGCATGCAAGATCCGCGAACACATCTATGCTCCTTTCGAGGCCGTGGCAAAATCTTCTCTTTGAAAGGAATCCTACCTCGGACGATGCAACAGGGCCGCTAGCAGTTGTGAGAGGCAATCGCGCCAATCGCATGGATGCCAAAAATCACGGACCACCTCTTTGTCTTCTCTTCCCTTCATTCCTTCACCTCCATCCCTCGCTTCTCATATCCATCTTCGTTTCACGGCGATTGAGCGCGGCCGCCCTACGATATGCGGCCCCCTCCAAAATCTCCATCTAAGCTTGGTTTAAACATAAGCGCTTACGTTGATGACTAGCTGCCTTCGTACGTAAGCAAATACAATTTTTCATGCGTGTACTGCTGAACATAATGAGCACCGCCAACTAGACGCGAAGGCTGCAAGAAGTAGCCCCCAGCCAGCAGCGTCTTAGCTTTTTGCATCCCATCCGGCCCCTATTTTCGCAGGCTCAACGGGACCTCACCACAAGTTGGAGAGAACTTCGGAAGCACCTATTCATCGAATGACAGGATTCGGAAAATGGTGCTATGGAACCAGGCGCTTCTGTCGTGTCAAAAAGAGCCCACATTCTGCGATGACAGGACGACTCGATAGCACCAGTTTTTCCAACAAGACATGCATGTAAGGGTTCAGGGTACAGACATCGAAATCAGTCACTGCGGTCCCTAGTAGCATCTCTACCATAATTAATCTTTAAAGTCCGAAATAACAGAACTTCAGCGAAGCTCAAGGCTCTGCTTGCTTACTCCACATGTCGTCCTTTGCTTTTTGGTATTACCCTTGTCAAATCTCGTCTGCGCGCGCGTGTATACCTACGCGTATGTAATCCGAATATATGTATATGTTTATTATACACACGCAGGACTATGACAAAATGAGGACAGAATCACATTTTCACAGCTTTGAATAAAACTCGCGAGTCTTGAAACCCCCAAACCAGCCGTAAACACGCCCGCGGCACTCACATCTCGAGAGAAGAATACCCAACAAATCTGACGTTCGTTGCTTTCCAAAATCATGCATGATTCTGTTGGTGTTTCATGTGTATAGTTTTGGAGCACAAAAAGCGTGTACCGCGAATACTCTTCTGGAAAGCACAGACAAGTTAAGAAACATGGACATACCGGTGCAGGACACCTTCACCTTCTTCGCTGCATGTTGCGATAAATTGAACCGAACACTTTCGCTGAACGTTACAAAGCAGGAGGCTAGGACGGCTAGGACTTCCCGCAAGCATGTGGGCTGGGAGGCTTTTGCTTTTTCTGTAGGGCTCGCTGCCGAGCTGCGGTCGGGAGCCTCCACCTCCGGAAGGACGCACATCACCGGCCTCGGGCTCCCACTTGGAGATGGGGGGAGAAGAGCGCACACACAGGCGGGCCCCAGGCTTGATGAGGTTGAGGAATCGGAAGCTACCACCTCGGGGATGCGAGAGTGCCACTAAGGCCCTGGTGACCCTACGAGACCCTACGGGCTGGGCTGGGGATCCAGACTCTGCATCGACATCTTGCCTCTTCGTGCCTGCAAACATGTCTTGGACAGTTTTTTGTCCGCCGGGGCAGGATGACATCCGCAGACGCTGCGAGACATGGAACTCCCCTCCACCCGGCGACCCTTGACAGACAGGCCGCGTACGGTATCCTTTCTTGCAGCACAGGCCTGCGGGGCTGGCGATCACCCCTTCGGGCAAAGGGCGTGCGAATACAATGCGGCGGTGACGCCGCTTCTGCCCAAAACTGGCTGCGAGCCAAAACGGCAGGGCGGCGAACCAGTGTTGAAGTCGGACACTTCTTTGTGCATTTCAAACATTGGATAAATCGAGGCGTGCTAAAGCTACCCACAACGCCACAGGCTAAACAACAAGCCCGTCTCCCAAGTGGTCTCTGATGTTCTCCTATGGAGACCAGTCCCAACCGCTTGAACCAACCCTGCCAGGCGCTCCGCCCGCGAGAAGATTTGGAATGTGAAACCTTGGCAAAGCGCTCACACTCTCGGAACTACGCGCTGCAGAATTGATATTGAAAAGGAATGCAGGGGGGGGGCCTCCCCAAACTTGAAAACTCCAGTCGGTCGGCGGGGTTGGTGCATGCGCCCGCTGAAGCCGGCATCCAAGTCTTGGAGCTGCTCTTTCTGTCCTCCCTCTCTGACCTAAACCTGATCGCTAGAGCCGCAAGCCTTCGTGACTCGGACAAGGCCAGCACGCTTCCATGGCTTTGCGGTAGGATTGGCGCACCTCACAGCAGCAACAGGTACAGGAGAGAGAGAGAGAGAGAGAGAGGCGAGAAGCGATAGCACAGCCAAAACGTTCCAGGCCTTCTTCAGCGTGTCCTTCCAAAACCTGTCACGACAAGAAATGACAAGAACAACAGCTGAGAGCATCCGTTCTCAGCTTCAGAAACCAAAGTGAAGATTCCTGTCAAGCCTCGCATGGGGCGTTCGGATTGCAACAAACACCAAAGCTTTCACACAGCCAGAACCCTGGAAACCTAAACAGCAAGATTTGAAGTTATGCTGGCTTGCTCTTGCATGGCATCGCGAACCTAAAACCACACTTGGCCGGGTGCCAGGCTTATCCACTCCTTTGAACTTCGCCGACTCGGTTGGGAGCTGCTTTTGGATGTCCTCCATAAATTCGGCCGAAGAGGGACTTTTCCTGAGGGTCTGGGAATCAGCCATTCAGGGGCGACAAAGGCATAGCCGCCTTCAGCCGACTGCCCAGCTGCATGCCACTGTATCCGCCGACCCCGCTTTCGGGGCGGCGCTCGTGATTCCCCCGAAGGTTTCCTCGTGGACACCCACTGCTAAGGCTGCTAGCCCCTGCTTATTCCGCTTAAGGCTGCCAATGCGTGCCCACGCCCCCGCCTGCACTTACGCCGTTCACACCGCCCCCACCGCCCTCATCGCCTTCTAATTCAAAGGCTGCCAATGCGTGCCCACGCCCCCTAGTGGTGGCTTGGCTGTACCATACTAAAGAGTATTTGCGGGCTGCCAATGCGTGCCCGCGCCCCATGCGGGCCCGCGCCCCCCCGCACCCACACCGCTCACACCGCTCACACTGCCCCCACTGCCTCACTACCCCCACCGCCTCCAGCTGCTAGTAGAAGTGGCTTGTGGCTTGTTTTTTCAATGGTGCCAGTAGTGGTGGCTTGGCTGTAGTATACTAAAGAGTATGTAAAGGCTGCCAATGCGTGCCCGCGCCCTCCCCGCAGCCACACCGCCCTCACCATTCCCACCACCCCCACCACCCCCACTGCCCCCACCGCCCCCACCGCCCTCACCGC